GTCTGACCCCAGTTCTATGTCTGATGACATTGCAATAGTTACTAAAATGTTTACGTAAGTGTGATAAGATTAGCTGTAGCACTGTAGTTAACGGTTTAATACTACTATTTTTTTCTCCTGTGATAAAACGAAATTTGATAGGATTTTTATGCATTTTTGGAATACCATATATTAGTGGTACTGCCCCTTCATGATTCTTTCCAATGCTTAAACTTTGCATGATGCTATGGTGAATTTGTTTTACTTCTTGTACTTGTAATCGTGTCGGTACATAACAATCATTCTCATGCTGTTCCAATTCCTTTTTTATATTAGTCAGATAGAACTTCTTACAGGTAAGACTAAAATTGGATGAAGCTTCATCTATAGGTGTAATGATAAAGTTTTCTTGAATTTCTGAGCTTCACATCTTTGATTAAGTTTAGGTTCCCAGTACAAACATGTTTATGAACAGGATCCACATAATCTTTGAAGTTACTGCAAGGGCATTCTCTTTGTTCTAACTGTTGTATTTTTTGTGAATCAAGATTCTTCAGAAAATAATTATAGTTAAATATTCTTAGGCACTGTGGCGGATCTGTTCTGTAAACCACTTGCACTACCAGATCCCTGGCTTCTTGTGTATTAGGTGTGTGATGTGCTATTATATTTTTCAATTGCAAACTGTTGCATATTCTATTAAGCCTTAGTTTGTACATTATTTCACCCAAATATCTAATGCTTACTATAAGATCTCCTGTTTTGTTTAATATTTTTGAGTCTTTTTTATTCCAAAAGGGAGATGCTAACAGTCCATATATTTTATATTTTAGTTCAAAAGAGTGACTTTGGAATGATTCATTGAAAGCATGTTCTATGAGCCTATCCATATCATATTTATTCAATGTTTTAAAGAATTTATAAAGCTCGATCCCTTGTCTGATGTTTATTTCATTCACAAGTGATCTGTTCTCTGGACAAGTTTTTTGCTTTCTTGATCTTCTTTTCTTCACTTTAGTTCTTGGTCTTTTTACTGGATATGTAAAGTATGGATGGTTCCTTTTTTCCAAAGGGTTTACCTTTTCGGATATATTACCAAACCCTTTTAGTTGATCGTTCAGACCGAAAGGGTAAGCGGTAATCATATATTTTATCCATTCTAACTCTTTGTTTCGTAATTTGGACTTAATACCTTCCGTATCACCTACATGATCCAAAACATCCACACGTATCTTCCAGGGATCATGGCCGGTGTTCTTAAAGTGGTTTACCAAGTATGTGTTTAAGACTTGTTTCTGAATATTTCTATTTGCTCTTAGCTTTTGTGACGTTTCGCCCACGTACTGCATTTGGCAAGTAAAGCATGTTATCATATATACTACATTGTTTGTATCACATGTACATTTTTGTGGTTTATTCGTTTTAAAATAATAATTTGTGATTGAACTTTTGACTACGCCTTGGAAATTCATAAGATCACATATAGCACATTTATTTCTACTACATCGATTGCCTCTATGCTCACTTGAATTTGATGTTGTAACTACTCTGCATCTATTTTGATCTCTTGTATTATTAGACAAGGACAACACTGAACATATAGCATTTGTATTACTTTTATTTTGGTTTTTGTTGCTGGACCTGTGTCCATCGAGTCCAAGGCGGTCCTTCCTGGACCCTTATGCAGTTTCTTTATCGGAGGATGTTTCCTCCTCGGCAGGGGCAAGCCTTTTCTTCGCTGGGGAGCGTTACCCGCAGTGTAAACCGCAAAGGATGGGGTGCCCACACCGCGCCAGGGTTCTCCCGAACTATATGATTGATTTTTTGTATGTAATGTTGACATCACAGCGGCTATGTAATAGCGTGAATGTATTGATATGTACTTATTGTGCCTGGAGGTAATGTTCTACCATAGAACACTAGGTTTAGACCGTGGGTCCTGTAGCATTTCAATTTATACTCATCAAATATGATTATAGGAACTAACTCAATTTACCTTGAATGATTCAACAGAACCAACTTTCCAACCTGCATCTGTATAACTAATGCAATAGACTTTAATGTCGTATATTATGGAAAATATATTAATGAACCTTTTAATATGATAACTATAAACACTTATATGAAATTGGTAGAAGACATATAATGGAACGCAGGACCACATATAATATTATGACGGGTTATTAGATGCATGAGATAATCTCGAAGTTACAAATGGACATTTTGTTTTGCGTAATGAAAATGTTATGAATTTTTAATGGACTATAAGGTGCGTTTGCAATCGGTATCGTATAAAACTAGAATGCTCTATTCACCAACAGGCCTTATGCCTCTCCTGCTCTTAATGCAGGAGGGTGAATGAATTAATATATCCATGATCGAATTCTTGAGGTTTCCCTATTTCAAAAGATATAGAGGAAAAGACAAAAAGAGGAGGAAATGACAAAAAGAGGAGGAAATAACTGCTGCACATACTTTTCACTCTTTAAACGCATCCATTGTTTATTATTTTCAAATTCTTTGACCTGATATAGTGCTCTATTCACCAGAAGGCCTTACGCCTTCTCCAACTCTTAATGCTGGAGGGTGAAAAAAACAATGAGCTACTAATGTTTTATCGCTGTGGTTGATAAATGTATAAGCAGCCTATTTATCTTACTATATCTTCAGCAAGATATAAAGAATTTGAACCCACTCTATTTTGTCTTGAGAGACTATCTCACTAACCATTACACAATTGGTCGCTTTTTTGGCAATCACTATCTGGCTATTAGTTTTAGGATCTGATATCTATTGCTGTAGAAGGATTTCAATGTCTCCTAATTTACTTACAATATAAAATTAACAAACATGTAAGCAATACTTAATTGGTGCTTTAGTTTCATATCAAAGTATGAAGGAATCGAACCTGCAGCTACTCTGTCTTGAGAGACTACATCACTAACCATTAGACTACTTGCTACCCAAAGAGCAAGCGTTTTCTGTCTTCCTATTAGTTTGGCTGTGATATTTATTTCTGAACAAAGAATTCCGATGCTTTTTCCATTTTTGAAGCTACAACATAATTATACATATGAGCAATACATTTCTATGCTGTTTTAACTCTGTTAAAGTAACAAGGATTCGAATCTACTTTGTCTTACTAGTCTAACACTCTAGCCATTACACCACTTGTTACACGAGGATGAGGCGTTATTTGTCTTTACTTTGGGCTCTGACAAGTATTACCGAACAAGGATTTTAAAGCTTTTATAAATTCTGAAGTTGTAAGGTAAACAGATATATAAGCCGTTACTTATAAACCGTCATACTTCTTTATGCTGTTTTAACCTTAATAAAGTAAGAGGGATTCGAACCTACGGTTAGCTTATCTTGATAGCCCATTGCTTTAGCCACTACACTACACGTCACAGTCAAATCAGGCATTGCCAACCCTTATATCGCATACTACTTAGGCCCGTATGCAAGTACGTCCCCGCTGGGGAGGGGAGGGGAGCTGGATCCCCAGGGGAACGATCCCCTCCGCCGAACCCCGCCATGACAGAGGGGAGGGGAGCGATCCCCTCCCCTGCACCTAGGCGGGGATGGTGTGAAAGGTTTCAGAGGTATTGATCGAGCGAACCCCAGTGCATACGGGGTTCGAATGGGGGAGGGGATCCCTTCCCTTCCCCCACTCGAACCCCGTATGCGCGAATTCAACTCATTAACGCGGGGGAGGGGATCGACATCCCCTGCAACGAAGTAGGGGTTCGATGGTGCAGATCATGCCAGAGACGCGGATATTCTGGTTTTGCTCAGTCATTACCAAGCATTTCGTTCACTTTGATGGAGGATTTTCTTTGAAAGCCGGGTTCTTCTCTCAGCGACCTGTGGCTTGCAATTTGTCTTTCTTTTCTATATTCGCCTCTTGAGAAAAAATCCGAGCAATGATAGCTGCCAATTTCGATTATTTGTAGGAGTTCTTGATCATTCAGAAAATTTGCGCATTTTTCATATAACATAATAGTTTTAACTATATAGGCTGAGTAAACACATTGTAACTTTCATATTTAATGACATGTTGCCATTATCTTGTTATTTTAACATGAGCTGCCTTGAAAAAATCTATAAAGTAGCATATTTGCCTATTTCTGAGTAGAAATCCCCTGGGGAGTGATCCCCTCCCCAGCGTTCCCCTTGTGCATAGCAGGGATCGCTGCTGGGGATCATTCCCGTGGGATAAAGCACGATATGCAGCTGATAGCTACAGCGTTTGTGGAGAGCTGGCACAATTTGCAGCTTCTGTTATGTGTTAGAATACTGCTTTGAGCGTCCGCGCGGCACCCCCCCCCCTTTTCGGCAGCATAACGTCTTCTACCCATACCCTTGCAGAGACACATCAACTTCTATAGTTCAACATTTTTACGCTGAAATGAGGCATGAGCGAAAGTGGGCAGCATCCAAGAAAGCAGGAACATAATGGGAGTAGAAAAAATCATTTTTAGTGCCCCGAGCGCAGTCACTGCATACGCTCATTCCGCAACCCTAAATTATTGAAAATGAGGAGATGAAGATGAGTTGCAGTCAAAATATGAAATGAAAAAGAGTTTTCCATAGAAAATTTGAAAGCAAGGTGATTTCCCCGCTTGATCCCCTCTTGTGCATAAGGGGGTTCACTTCCCCTCCTCACAGGGGATCCCTTGTCCGATATTGTCTTTGTGCATACGGGGGTTCGCGCGGGGAGGGGAGGGAATCCCCAGCGGGGATCATTTCAATAGTTGAGCGCACATCCCCTCCCCGCGGGGATGTACGTGCATACGAGCCTTAGTGTATACAATTGGTTCTCTAAACTAGTAAAGTTATCTAAGTACTTTGAAAGTAGTGTTAAGTAATGATTTATTTATACTCAACTTCAATAGCTTGCATATTTGTCATGATTTCACCTAATATACCTCGTGCACCGACTAGGTCAAAAATTTTTTTGGCGGCAGTTGAGTGTATAAAAATGTTTATTATAAACGGCGTATCCCTTGCCCTTCGGAATGTCCAAGGGCAACGCTGTGCAGCAGCTCTTCGAAAAATTGGCGTATGGAAAACCAGTATTCGACTCTGACAGGGATATTTCAGCGACCGATATGATGTACGTGAACAAAACCGGTGGTACTTGTAACTTATCAGTGAGTTAGTTTAAAAATATCAAGATTTATTTTTGGTAGTAAGTCTGAACCAAAATTTAACATTTCTATTTAGATTTTTCTCGCTCAACGTCACTTTGACCACGTGATGTCAGCTGTTTTCCAAAAACAAATCATCACTTTGAACAAGAAGATGCTTGTCGGTAAGTTCTAAATTACTTATTTATTGATTTTCCCGATTAAAGTGAGTGTTGAAGTCGAATATCAAATGCTTTTCGAGTTTATAGATAATTGTCGTTGATTGTGGTGTGTTTATATTTATTTCTACGTGTTCGCAGAAAATCAATTTTTTGGATTAGTTTTGACTGGCCGATATATGACATCTTTATTTCAGATCAGAAGATAACTATTGGTCGAGTTTTGACACCTACTGAGAGATGTGACTATGAAACATCCTGCGCTTGCAAAAGACTAATAATCAAGAAAATGCTCGAAAAGAAGAAAGTAGATTCGACTTCTCCTGTGTTTTTCGTCTTGGTCGACAAAAGGAAACTTTGTTTACGTATTGATAAAGAGGTGAGTTCGAGTATTAGTATTATATATCTTAGATTTGTCTTACTTTCAGTATATCACTGTGGGCGATGCGTCTGTCCGTTTCGGCATTAGTCTCGATGAGATAGAGGAGGAAAAGAGGAAACACTCGTCTACCGCGAAGGCGCGACCCGACAGAGGCGCAAACAAGAGACTCGCCGGGGCAGCTGTGGGTCCTGATTCTGAAGCCGCGAAACTTATTCCTTTGAACCGAGAAAGCAATTAAGGCAATTTTTGTTCGATCTGTCTTTTGAGCTACTTGACTTTCTGTTGTTGAGCTTTTGACTATTGTATTTGATGAACATTTTTTGGAGTTTTATCTGCATTTATGAGCATCTGAGGTTACTGGAATATTCGAGATTTTTCGAAAGTTTTGAAAGTTTTGGATTTTTCAGTAAATTGTTGGACATAAGGGCTCTCTACATGCATACCGCACGTAGATACTGGTTTCAATATGGGAGTGGGGTTTACCTCACGTCACCATATTTCCCCAGTTTATTGCATAAATGAGAAGTGATTCAAATCAGACAAAACATTACCAAAGTTGAAATTTTTTATGAATAAGGAGGTAATGCTGAAGGTAATTGAGATGCGAAGTCCAGCATGAACCAAAATTAGATTTTCACACTCTGGTTTCGGGGCTTGAACTATATCAGAAGTGTGGCCAACCTGCCGCCCTTCATCAGTAGTTCACAGGAAGGCTTCCAAAAGTGATATGGAATAATAAGAAGAATGAGGAGTATTATGAAATAATTAAGCAATAAAGGAATGTGAGGATGAAAGTTTGGAATGAAAAAGAGCGCAGTGTAAGACAAATCAGCATAAATGAGTGTTGACCCGTAAAGTCTCCTGGTTATTCCCGCCTGTGTACTGCCCGCTCCCCGCCCAGTAGATCAAGCATCCTACTATGTACTCTATGGAGTAAACAAGATGGCCTACGCGTAAAAGGTTTGATAATGAAGTTGAACCTAAAATTCAAATTTTCCAATGCCCGAAAAATCGGATTTTAGGGCAGCAAAACTCTACGCACCTCCAACTTGTTCAGGTATGTAATGCCTGCATCAGGCATGTTTACATTTGCTGAATTTCCCATAGCTAGAAATCAAAAGTTGGGCCAAAATCGAAAGCTCAATATGTAGCTTTTTCTGGGTTTTGTAAATCAAATTTATTATTTATGGAGAAGTAAAACGCATAGTATGACAGTACCTCACAAAGGTTCAAACTTCAGATCTATCTATGTAGAAACAACTCAGCATAGCTTTTACGAAAACATGAATTTTATTTTCTCGATTGCTAGCAATAAAAAAATACAGCAACTGTATGTTTGAATGTTTGATGTGGACATTATATAGAAACACAGTAGAAATCCGTAGAGTTTTTCTGAACGAAGATTTGTTTTTTTAAGGACTTTAACTTTTTGGGGACTTGGATGTTTTTAGATTTCGGATTGAAACTCTATGTGGATCACACCTAGTGTGAATCTTTAAAAGCCATCTTGTAAAGATTGCTTCGCTCTAATTCTCCGACTACCGCAGGAAATTTACGAAAGAAGGCTGATAACAGTGAAGCAATAAATATGAAAAGACTTATGGGACAACCTAACAAATGCACGTAAAATTTTGACCTATATTTCGTCGACTGAGGCTTTCGTATGGTAGATTATTGCATTATAGTCGTACAGCTTTCGGCAGAAGGCTCAGAATCGGCGGAATGCATCGGTCCTCACAAGATCTGTTAAATGAAGCTGGATGTCTGTCTGTATGTTTGTCTGAGGATGGGCTTGCTGAATCTCAGCTACTTTTATATTCTTCAAATGAATAGGAAAGGAATAAAGACAAGATTTTGAATAAAAATGTTGAAGCATGCGCTTTTTCGCTTTGCGGATTGCAGTGATTCTGAATTGTAATTCACTGCACAGTGCTGCTGCCAACTCAGCAATAATCTTGCCTCTACGGTTTCCAGATCCGATCATGGATTGACTGTATCAAACATAATGCCCTCACATTTCGTTCAAGCTAAGGCAATTTGAGTAAAAAGCGACATCCTTGCAATGAAATACTAGCGACAGCAAATCAAGATTGAATTTAGTAGGGAAGCGCATTGTTAGATTAGCGTAATTACCAAAGTTGAACGTCCTTACATTGTTTGCAAGCTATCATCGCAGTTTAGCTTCTGACCTTATTTGCATTAGCAAAAATCTGCGCTTGACATTATTATCAAGCCAATTATTTCAGTTTTGGACCAGCTCGATTTCATGAGTTCCATCAACAATGCTGTCGAAAAATTTCATGAACAGTGCACAGTGCGTGAATTATTGCTTTCATTGACACATTCTAAAACGTAGATGGATTCGACAACTTGTACTTGTAGAAGCTGCTTATCATCTTATATATAAAGCTGAATGTATGTCTGTCTGTCTGTATGTCTGTCTGTCTGTACGTATGTGCGGAATAGAAATTTTTATTTCTGAACCGATCGGGACCAAACTTGGCACACATACATTTCGGGGCAGGGAGCGTGTCATACAGTCTGTCCCAATCGGGACCAGGCCGAACCGCAGGCTGATTTTGCGCGCTCGCAACGCTAGGGGTCTGCGCTGCATACGCGCACTGTCGCAGAGAGCGAAGAGATCGAGGAGAGAGCAGACTGGCTAGCCGTAGGACGTGACGCAATACCCTCTCGACACGGGTCCCGCCATGCCAATTTTGGCCTGGTTGGGATTGGGGCAGACTGTAGTCCACTTTTCGTTATCGATCGATGTCGATTTCACCGATTTTTTGCAAATTTTGAGCTACGGGGCTGGGATTTTGCACAGGGGGGTAATCGAACATGCTGATCACCCCCGTGGGGGTGATCAGCAACCTGTGCAAAATCCCAGCCCCGTAGCTCAAAATTTGCAAAAAATCGGTGAAATCGACATCGATCGATAACGAAAAGTGGACTATGACACGCTCCCTGCCCCGAAATGTATGTGTGCAAAGTTTGGCCCCGGGCGGAGCCGGGTTTGCCATCTAGTCATTCATAAGACCAAGTGCCGCTTCGCATCACTTTGATCGTAGGTTAACCACATCTAGGATTGATATCTATATATAAAAGTCAAAAGCTATCTATTTGGAAGGTATAGTTGACTGCACAGAATCGCCCAGAATGAGCACCCGCGCGCGTGTTTCTTGCAGAATAAAGACAAGATTTTGAATGAATACGCGATTATGCTTATAAAAGATGCAAATTTTCTGATGAAAAACACACTACACTTTATGCACAGCCTAAAGGTTATAACGTCAGACAGTCATTCCTTATTTTTCAGATGTAGATTGTTGCAGCGCCTACTCCGCAAACCTTCTATGATATAAACACATGTAAGTAAACATACAATAAACTGCGCAGATCTGTGGTTTTCGGAAAAAATCATGTGGCGTAAGCAGTGCCGGTTGATAAGGCTACAGATAAGATTAGAAGGAGGTATGCAGACAAGGCTCATTTGGCTTTTGATTTATACTCTAACGTTTTGTCTTCTTATCAGTTTGACCTTATCTTTAGAGCTTTGGCTGACATTTCCAGAATTTCTTGATGGACGGTGTAACCGAAGAGGTAAACATGCTTGCCCTTTGTGGTGACGTCATCGCTGGACATAGCCACTTGTTAACGTTCGATGGGGGGGGGGGGCCTGTGATGATTGTAGTAGATGATTCTTGAGTTCACTCAGTGCCCGGCACGAGTCGGTTTCTAGGGTTTCTGAATACGAACTCTCCCTTGACTCACGGAAATTTTACGAAGTCTCCTCTGACCTACCTGCTGAGAAGAAGATGAAAACAAGAAAAAATTACTAGTCTGAAAGAAAAGACGTAAGATAAGAGCGAAAATCTAAATTGGAGCTGAGTACTACGCATGCACAAGACTTTGGCATTAGAGCGCGATATTTAAAGGCAGTGTCCGGGCAAAAACTCGATTTTGAGATTTTGCGCTTACTCGGGCCTATTCGCTATGCTGAATCCGAAAATCCACATTGGAGAGCGCGAAAACGACGAAAAAGGGCTCTAACACTGGAGGGAAATCAGCAAGTGGGCGGGGTCTTCCCCACTGTAAATTCACGCTCCCAGCTTCGAGGCGATCTTTTTGATTCCGGTTTCAAGTCATTCGTCTGCACTTAATTGGTAGTGATGTCATGGCGGCTAACGGATTCGAGAAAATTGCTCTGGAAGCTGCAAGCGTAAATTCACAGTGGGGAAGACCCGGCCCACTTGCTGATTTCCCCCCAGTGTTAGAGCCTTTTTTGGCGTTTTCGCGCTTTCCAATGTGGATTTTCGGATCCAGCATAGCGAATAAGCCCGGGTAAGCACAAAATCTCAAAATCGAGTTTTTTCCCGGACACTGCCTTTAACAAAGCGAGAATAAATGAAGGCAAAAAACAAAGGAAAGGCAATGATAGAGAATGTCTTTATGCTCAGGGATAGATTTTTGACCGGGGAATCTGTCCATGCTAAAAAGATCCGAAACTTATGTGAAGTGACGAAAATATATGCTCCAGACGATTTAATTTTGGAAAAGGTATTACTTCACATAAGCTTTCAAATCTTCTTACATAATGCTTTCGCAAATAACTTTCTATACATATAGTTCAATTTTGGTGTCATATGCTTCTGTGTGAGCTGTAAGGCTGCGTTCATACTGATTCCCATGTTCTGGAACTGTTCCCGCACAGTTCCCGCACAGTTTCAGCACAGTGCGAGAACTGTGCGGGAACAGTTCCAGAACATGGGAATCAGTATGAACGCAGCCTAAACAAGCACTTTGTTTATTTTGGCCTTGCTTTCAAATCGCGCGCACTTTTCGCCATACACGATAGAGCATGTCAATCTTGTGATAATCTTTCCGAAAAGCTTGTGTTCGACTAAATGGCGCTCATTCTTGGTGCTTGGCCCCTATTCGTCAGAATTGATATCTCCTTTGCTGTTTGCTTCAAAAGCGAAGTCCAGCCTGCTTCCAGACGATCTGTGCCGGGCCCTGAGTTCACTACTGCTGTGCTGCCTTATTCTTTGTTTAATGACGTTTGATGCTTCTTATTTGAAAATCTCACAAGAAATTTTTTGTGCTGTCATCTAACAATAGGCTATTTTCTCAAACATATACGAAGATAGGAAAAGGCATGACAGTCAAATGACATCAGTTTATAGATGTAACAAATGATAGAATTGAAACACAGATAACTACAGGGCAGTGGCGTAC